CATCTGACGAGGTTGATAGCATCATCTCAGCTGAGCTCCCTGATTCCGACACAAATCCTGAATTGTTTCAATTGGTTTCGACCAATATGATCCATCGGCCTTGCGGTGCCCACAATCCTTCGTCGCCCTGCATGCAAGACAATACATGTTCTAAAGGATTCCCGAAAGAATTCAGAGATACCACTCTGATTTCAGACGGTTATCCCAAGTACAGACGCCGAGACCAGGGAAGGAATGTTCGGTATACGGTGAACCGGGTGGATGTCGTACTTGACAACCGTCACGTCGTGCCGTACAACCCTTACCTCCTGCTTCGGTTTGGTGCCCACATCAATCTCGAATGCTGCTTCTCCTTCGACTCGGTCAAATACCTCTTCAAATACGTCTATAAGGGTACTGACAGAGCTCGCTTCCAACTTCGTGATGCAAACAATGATGACCTTGGACCGGTCAATGAGATCGAACGGTACATACAGGGCCGTTATTTGTGCGCTCCCGAGGCTTGCCATCGTCTTTTTGCATATCCCATGCAAAAGAAGAGCGACAAAGTCATCCGACTCCAAGTACATCTTGACGGATTTGAAAATGTGGTGTTTGACCCAGAAGATGCACAGGCGGCACTAAATAGAGCTCGCACTCATAAGACCACGCTGAGCGCATTCTTTGCCATCAACACGCATATGCAGCATTTGGAGGATACCGGAGCAAGGACGGTTATGGTTAACGGTCAAAAGTGTCTGCAGATCGGGAGAAGGAGGGACGCAGAGAAGGTCTTAGATTCCAGAGAATTTTTCTATGGCCAAATGCCAGAAAAATATCGTATCGTTCAAGGCAAATGGGTGCAGCGAAAGAATGCGTCGCGGGTGATTGGCCGGATGTACCATGTCTCTCCACGAGACACGGAACGCTTTGCCATGAGACTGCTTCTGCTCTATACGAAAGGCCCCAGGAGCTTCGAACAACTGCGTACTATCAACGGCACTCAATACAACACCTATTTTGAGGCCGCCAAAGCAGCAGGATACATGAACGATGACTCTGTGAACCTAGCTACGATGCAGGAAGCCGCCGATGTGCGGATGCCTGGAGAACTTCGCAGCTTCTTCTCTTCCCTGATCTGCTTCGCTGACGTGCAGGACCCTGTGGCGTTCTGGGAACGCTTCAAAAACGACCTAATGCAGGACTTCCTTGCTCGCGGACTTTCCATCCAAGTCTCTGAGTCAAAGGCCTACTGGGAAATTGTCGAAGATCTGACAGTTCTCGGGGTCAGAGACAGTCCGTTGTTCCAACTCAATTTGCCAAAGTACGACATTGACATCGTCGTTGTTGATCCCGCCGAGCATGCTCGACTCGGGAACGACAAATACTTGCAATTGAACCCGGAACAACTGAGAGCAACGGATGAAGTCTTGGCCGAGGTCGCAGACCCAACTGGGCAGTGCTTCTTCATTGACGGTCCAGGGGGAAGCGGCAAAACCTTTGTCTACCAAACCATCTACCACATTCTATCCGGTATGGGCAAGAAGATTCTCTCGGTAGCGTGGACAGGTATTGCCGCCAACCTTTTGGAAGAAGGACGAACAGTCAGCACTGCCTTCCGTCTGTTGATCAAGACCAACAACAAGGAATCCAGCATGAAAAGGCAAAGCATTGAAGCACGAGCACTCGCTGAGATCGACCTGATCATCTGGGACGAAGCACCTATGGCACCGAAAGAAGCACTCGAAGCAGCTGATGCTCTTCTTAAAGACATTATGCAAAACGATGTGCCATTCGGTGGAAAGGTCATGGTACTTGGAGGAGATTTCCGACAGGTACTTCCCGTGGTCGATGGTGGTGGTCGTGCTGAAATGGTGTCAGCCTGCTTGAAGTCATCCCGACTCTGGCCTCTCTTCCGAAAGTTTGAGCTCACGACCAACATGAGAGTTCGGGATGCAGGCAACGATTGGAAGGACTATCTTCTCGCTCTGGGTAATGATCTACTCGACAAAGACGAAGAGGGATACCTCGAAGTACCCGAAGATCTCAGATGCGAGCAAGATTTGGCCGAAGCAGTCTTCCGACCAGCCTTCGATGAAGGAGTTGAACTCTCTGAGGTAGCTATCCTTACACCCAAGAACGAACAGGCTCTCGAGCTCAATAATCGAATCTTGGATATGCTACCCGGAGAAGTCAAAACCTTCAGAAGTGCTGACTCGGCCGAGACTACTGATCCAACCGATGCTGCCAACTTCAACGCAGAGCTTCTAAACAAGATGACACCATCTGGAATGCCTCCCCACCTGCTCCATCTAAAGGTGGGTTGCATCGTGATGCTTCTGCGGAACCTCAGCGTCAAAAAGGGTCTCTGCAACGGTACAAGGCTGATTGTCGAGCAAATCGGAGCCAGAATTCTCCTCTGCACAATTGCCACGGGTAGCAGGAAAGGCAAAAAAGTGTTAATCCCCGAATTGATTGCCTTTATGACAAAGCCACACTACCATTCGTGCTGAAGCGACGCCAATTTCCGGTTCGGCTGAGCTTCGCAATGACCATCAACAAAAGTCAAGGGCAATCATTCGAAAAGGTCGGCATTGCAATGTTACACGAAGAAATCTTTGCACACGGCCAGCTTTATGTTGCTCTCTCGAGAGCACGGAGCCGCAAAGGTGTCTCGATAATGGCCAAGGACAACAAGATGAAGAACGTCGTCTACGAAGAAGTCCTCGAATAAATTTCTGAATCTTTTGTCATTGTTGATTTTGTTGTTATTATTATTGTTTTTGTTGCCCTTTTCTGTTGTTATTATTGTTGTTGTTTGTTGCTTTTTTATATGATATTTCGCCGAATAAATATTTTAAACCCCTAATATGTGTCTCACTTTCTCAGCATTGGTTCTTTGCCATAATTATCTCTAAACTTTTTTTGAATTGTATCTTTGAATCCATTTTTCAGCTTTATGTGCCGGCCGTAGGCCGGCACATAATATTCCGATAGGATTTTGGGGAGTTTACAGTCATGTAGACCTAGAAGTGGCCAGTGGAAAACTGCCGCGAAGCGGCTTTTTTCCACTGGTTATCAGATAGACTATTTTTTTTTACTATCATCAAACACAAAAATCCAAATTTTTATTTTTAAGAATGGAAAAATATCGCACTTCGAGCAAAATTAGCGATTTTTGACGAAAATTTCGAGTTTTTCCAAGTTAAGTAGTTAAAATGTATTAAAAGCCACCAAAACACTCACTATTTCTGGACTTTGATGAAAAAATTGGACCCCCCCGATAATGCACAAGAAACAATTGGAATCAAAAATCCCTCATTTTGATTTGTGAATCCATTGCGTTGTTAGATTCTCTGTTTGTTGTTATTTTCCCGCACCTTTTCGAATTTACCTTCTTGATCAGTCTCATTCTAATTCAGCCATCACAGTACTATCGATACATATCTATTACGTATGCCAATTGCATGGCAGAATTCCTGTCATTACCCCCGTCATTTTGCGCATTCCTCATTGCTCGCATGTGATCGATTTTGATCTATTGCTTCCTAAAGATCAGACTTCATATTTTCACCACTTCTAGGCTAAAAACACCTCCTTAACTGGAAAAGTATTAATAAATACTTTTTACACAATTGTCGATTTGATAAACCAAGGTTTTCCAAAGAATTTGATGGTTTGCGCCGAATTTTTTTCGACTTTGAAATATGTGTACTAGAGATTTGCCACTGCACCCTGTATTTTTCGATATTAATGGTGAGCGTTAATAGATATGATACTAAAGAATTGCACCGAACTGAATGTTGGTTTGTCTCAAACGTATTTTAATTAATCGCGTAAAAATCAATATTTCAAAAAGATTTGCTCGATTTTCACAGATTTTTTTTCATTACGATACCATAGTTGATGGCAGAATTCCTCTCGTTACCCCTATCAATTCAGCGCATTCCTTATTGCTAGCTTGTGATCAATTTTGATTGGCTGCTTTCTAAGGATCAAGCTTCACCTTTTCACCACTTCTAAGCTGGCAATAACACTTTAGCCTGATAGTATTCATAAATACTTTTTACACTATGTTCGAATTGGATTTGTGGATTTTCTCGATAGGCACGTACTTTCTAAACCACTTTTTTTGGAATATGTGTTTTATAAATCTGCAAATTCATCTTGGATTTTTCAGCATTAACCAGGGTTGAAAAACCGCTTCGCGGCTTTTCAACCCTGGCCCCGTTCAGGACCTGTGAAAGTCCTTAATTTGCATGTTTCTTCCTGAATTCTAGCAAGAAAAAAGTGAAAAACGGCTCCTTTGTCCCTTTATATAGACTCTTCCTACTTCCGGCGCATGCTAATTTCCCCTAACAAACAGGGTTTTACAAAAACCTATTTTTAATAGCGAAAACCACAATTTTTCAAAATTTTTATGTGTGTGCAGTCGATTCCGGACCATTCTAAACCTATTGTCGTTTCTTCCCTATCCAAAAAACCCTTCCCGAGGCTGTAGGTGCGGAACATCCGAACGGAAGTGCATGCAAATATACACACACACACACACACACAAACACTATTTTTTTAGATATAGTAGGATAGTAGGATAGCTAATATCTGCGATTATTGTTCTGTAACCCCATTTTAATCATGGAAAAGTAGATGTCTTACGGATGCCAGAATCTTTTTTAAATGTCGTCCGATAACTCTATCTGTGGCTGGGTTGGAATTACACAAAAGTACTCCATTGGGTACTCTTATTTTTAGAAGCATTCCATTGGGCTTTTATGGTTGTTAATTTTGAAAACCACGGTTTTTGATTTTTAATTAGCCTGATCGAACTATGTGGCTGACAAAAGTTTTCCGAAATCCTCATCTTTCACCATAAACACCCTAAAGCCGCCGAAAAGGTATGATTTAATTGGCACCATTGGGTAGAATGACACTAGAGGATTTGATAATTGGAAGCAAGGTAAAATAATTTTATCTTTGTATTGAAGCCCGTTTTTCATAGATCTTTTGTCGTCATCTCGTCACGCTTCTGTTTTTGTATCGGCTTTCTCCTTTTGGACGGCTTCATATTCTTCCAGCCATAATGGCCGCATCAGCCAGTGCATCGCACTAAAAGAACAAAGTTTAAAGTCGTTTTAGCATTTAAAAATCATCAAAAAATGGGACGGTTGTTGTTACAATTAAAAACTACTATACTGATTTTTATAAATTAGCTTAATTGCGTGGGGCACGAAAATTTAAATAAAACTAGGCCCTTAAAGCGCACGTTCAGGGAGGGGCCGTGTACTCGTCCCAACGTGTACACCCTATGGACCTAGGGACCGCGCGCACTGCCTGCCCGTGCTGTGACAGGCCATTCCCCTCCTTTCCGCCGTGGGGCGCCCCTCGCCCCCCTCGCTAGGTTGTAGCTGTGGCTGACCGGTATCCATCCGCGCCTCCCGAGCGGGGGGCCCGGGTTCGACCCCCAACCGCGGCTAAAATCTTTGCGTTTTTCCAAATGATATACAAATCAATCAGTTTGCTCCAAATCCTCTATGCTTTCCAGGTATAATTGTTTGCTAGGTGCTTTCGCATTATCAGGGGGGGGGGGTGAAGTTATAGCAAGTATTTTAATACAGTAGCGGTCAAAAAGATGTCCCCTCGGAAATCCTTTGGTGCTCGTAAACCATAGGCCCAAATTTTATGAAACGTCGTGTCTAGGCCAATTTTGATACGGAGAATTCGATGGTAAACTTGAAATCGACTGAAAATTTGATTTTAGTGATCAAACATTAATTTCTAAAAAAACCGGTAAAATTAACTTTTTCCTGAGGGATTTTCGGGTTTCAGAAATGTGTCCATCGTGTTCGCAAGGGTCGAAAACCTATCTCGAACATGTTTCAAAACATTTATCTCTTTGGGGTTCGCTACTATGAGGCCGAGAAGTTGTCGCCGCGGGGCGCTTTCTTGGCCCCCGTAAGCCTATCCAAAGTATTTTGGCCCGCGCGACAGCAACTTTCGGCCGTCAGTATGGTCAGGTCCTGGTAGAAAAAGTGTCGTAAAATAACGGACTAGTGGTTTTCGACCCTGGCGAACACGATGGACATATTTTTGAAACCCGAAAATCCCACATTAAAAAGTTTATTTTTACAGTTTTTTTGAAATTTAAGTTTGACCATTAAAATCAAATTTTCAGTAGATTTCAATGTTGCCATCGGATTCTGCGCAGCCGAATTGACCTAGACACGACGTTTCATAAAATTTGGGCCTGTGGTTTACGAGCACCAAGCGATCTCCCGAGGGGACATCTTTTTGACCGCTACTGTACGTCTTGGTAAAGGTAATCTATATTTCAAGGGGAACAACTCTGTAAAAAACTTTAAGGATTTTGAAAAATTCAAAGATGATTTGAAAATCGGTCGTTATTAATCAAAAAAACGAATCATTGCACTTTTTAAAAGTTTTTTTTTGCGTTTAGGAATGGTAAAAACAATTTAGAAGCTACACAAATTTTATAATTTAAAAAATGGGCTTTTAAAGAAAACTAAAGTGGGTTTTACCCCTTTTAAGTCCCCCCCCCCCCGATAATGCAGCAGTACGGTTGGCTATCACGGCAGTTTGTTATAACGCTCTTTCTTTATTTTATGGTGAATTTGTTGGCAGCATTTTTCTATGTAACTACTCAATTCGCGGAATTAATTCTGCTTTTTGGCACTTTTCACGCCCCTTTTTTGAAACATATCAATTTTGAAATTACCATTGCCCAAACGTGGCCAAGGTGGCAAAGACGGCGGCGATGAGGAACGAGAATCCGGGCCACCAATCGAGGGTTTCACGGTACAGCGAATTGAACACGATACCGGAGATCACTGGGCAGATTACCATCACTAAAAATGTATTAAAATTTCCGATTTAATAAAGATTTCTAGCTCTTTGGCGCACATTTTGTACTGGCGATGCTTACGAAAAATGTTTCAAACTCCGGGAAAACAACGACTTCAATGAAAAGAGCAATGCAGTCAGAATGATATCAAATTTATTCAATAAAAAAAGACAAAAATGACGGTTTTCGACTAAATTTTAATTTATCAAGGTTTATTAACGTTTTCAGATGGTTTTGCCATTCAAAATACCATTAAATTTTTCTAAAAATGAAGAATAATAGCAAGAATGAAACGCTTATACTATTAAGCTACTGGGTGTATTAAGGAAAAATACATCTCTCCGATCATGCAAAAGCAGGGCAGGGCTATCAACGTAATTAAAAACAGAAACAAAAACAAGAAAGGTTTAGAAAAATGTTTTACGACTGCCCTGGTATAAAATAGCGGTTAACAATTTAATTTCCCAGCAATTTTTCGTCTTTATCACCATTTCTATAATTGCTAAAGAATTTTTGCGTAATTACTGTTATTATTCAGCATTACTTTTTTTAGCTAGCGTCACTATCGTCACATAATCAGTTTTTCCATTTTTTTCAAAAAGGAAGTTTGGAAAATTATGGCATTTTTCCAATTTTTGGAGCTGGTAATGGGGGGCACAGTACAGGGTCGGATTAGCGCGTTTTGAATAATTAGAGCAGGGATTCCTGCATAATTAAAAAATATTAAACAAGAATGGTTTTAAAAAAAGTTTTACGACTGTCCTAATATAAAATTAATTAGTAAGTTAATTAAACTTTATCTTCACTATCACAATTCCTATAAATTCCAAAGTATTTTTGCATAATTACTGTTATTATTTAGTATTATTTTTTTTAGCTAGCGTCACCATATCGTTACATCATCATTTTTCGTTTATTTAAAAAAAGAAGTTTCGGAAAATATGCCAGTTTTGGCGATTTTTGAAGCTGATAATGGGCAAGCCCAACACTGGTTCGAATTAGCGCGTTGTGGATGATCAGATGGGGGCTTTAGCACATAATTTGAAAACTTATTTAAGTAAAAATGTTTTACGATTACCCCAATATGAAATTAGCGACGAAAATTCAATCAGTCTTTCGGAAAGCTCTAACAATAAATAGAACTTATGGACTTTGAATAGTGGTGGTGAAGACTTTATCAGTTCAAAATAATTTTTTGATTGCCATAAAATTGTTTTTTTTTATATTTTTGTTATTTTTAACACCCACCAACGCCAAGAATCGAGAAGAGCCGCGCCGTTTCGTGTTGTTCGACGAGCCGCGGGACGAATGATCGGCTGCCCGGATACAGGAAACCCACCAGGAAGAACACGAATGCCGCTGAAAAGGCACAAAGATATTCTTAAGCAGTTAAGGTACGTCTTTACGATTAGGAGCTATGGTTTTGATTATTTAGGGATTAAAGAGGCTCCGAAATACGGTCGCCTAATCGAATTAGTAAAATCCGTATTTCCCAAATGGTTGCCGGCGGAATTGCCCTAAAACTTGCCCGTTTTGCCCGATGCTTCCTTGAAACCTTTTTTTTCTCACCACTTTTCATATAGAAAATCAAGATAATTATTTTTAAAAAACTTAATAAGTCGTTATATGCACGCCAAATAATTAGAAAAACCAGCGCCCAAAACCCGCTTCGCGGGCCTTGGGCGCTGGAATGGTGCATTTGCATGAGAAATTTGAATTTCCGGCAGCTCGGGTCCTTCGGACCCCCCCCCCCCCACCACACGCGCGCGTGCAACTCGCAAGAATGAGCAAATTTGTATTTTTTCACATTATGCAAATTACCCCCAAAAATGAATAAAACCGGCTTTAACTTTGTAAACTTGTATTTTATCGGGATTCTGAAAGCGCCATCGGAAAGAGGAGTGTCGATTCCCCCGAGTGACGGAGAATTAGGGCATTTTGGACACGGGAAGGCCCTCAAATCGGGCCTCGAAACTGACATCCACACACACACACACAAAGATACACGCCAAAATTATACAGGGTGTCCCAAAAAAAAAGACCCCCCCAAAAATTTGAGCTGGAGGGGCACCTACGGAGCTGAAAATTTGCACAGAGGTAGCGAAGGCAATTTTCTATGAACAAGGAAAGTTTCAAACCGATCGTCCAGCGGGTTTTAAAGTTATAGCGAAAATACTTTTCATTTTTATTTTAATATAGGGATCCATGCAATTTGCATCAAAAATATGCGTTATTTTGGCATTTACGAGCCGATTTTGCATAAATTTTGCCGAAAAATGCCATTTGCTCACTGGATCTCGGAGAGAACGATCGAGTATAAAGAGCAAAAAGAGTGTGAAAACGATTCTTTCTAGGGTCCTAATCATATTTTATGGGAGATTTTGCCAATATGACCCCGTCGGTCCCGAAGCAGACCTTGATGAGATCCTAAGTATTGCTTAGGTTCAGTTTTCGGCTTCGATTGATGCTTACGACGAAGTCTAAGCTGAGTTCTAGCGTTCGACGATAGTTTCAGTCAATGCGTCTTGTGTTCCGCGGTCTTGCGAACCATTTTTTCCCTCCATGAGAAATCGTTTTTCTACAGCCCAATGAAGCAACTGGCATTTTTCGGCAAAATTTATGCAAAATCTGCTCGTAAATGCCAAAATAACGCATATTTTTGATGCAAATTGCATGGATCCCTATATTAAAATAAAAATGAAAAGTATTTTCGCTATAACTTTAAAACCCGCTGGACGATCGGTTTGAAACTTTCCTTGTTCATAGAAAATTGCCTTCGCTATCTCTGTGCAAATTTTCAGCTCCGTAGGTGCCCTCTGGCTCAAATTTTTGGGGGGGTCTTTTTTTTTGGGACACCCTGTATAAGGTAGGATTAGACAAACATATTCGTTCAAGTACTGACAATCTAATCGAAAAACCGGTCTAATTGTGATTCCCAGACAGCCCAAAACCAAGACCAACCAAAACATTTTTCGGTACACATAGGATAACGGGGGGGAAATAACGGGGGGGCACTCAAACTTTTTTATGATAAAACTACGCGCCTACTATGCCGAAATCCTATGTGCTGCCCCTAGTTTTCAAAAATAGTTTTTAGACTATAAAACTTTTATAATACATTTTTTCGCGTTGTAAAAAATCTCTTAGTATCATTTTTGATGTTCTATCGATTCGCGTTTTCAAAATATCCAAAATCTCAAAAATTTGGCTTCCCCCCGTTATCCTATGTGCTGCCCATAGATTTTGATCAATTTTTGTTTATTCAATAAAAAATTTCCATTACATTATTTTGGGCTGAAATTAATTCTCTTAGTATATTTTTCGGCGCTCTATCGAATGGCACTCGCAAAATCCCACAGTAATTACAAATTTCATAATAACCAGGGTTGAAAAGCCGCTTCGCGACTTTTCAACCCTGGCCCCGTCTGATCCCATGATATTCTGCGCTTTGCATAATCACGATTTTTGATGACAAAAATAAGAAACGCTACCTCTCTTCCCTTTATATAGGCTACCACAACTTCCGGCGCATGCTAATTGTGACCTAACAAAGAGGGTCCTGGATTTTTCAACAAATACTTAATTTTAACATTGAAAACCGCTAATTTTTGAAAATTTTATGAGTGTGCAGTCATCCCCAGGCCATTACGCACCTAATGACGTATCATACGTAGCCTAATACCCTTCCCTTCTTGAGATACTACTGGAACACGCTGACGGAAGTTGCATGCAAAGTGGCACGGACACACACACACACAGACACTATTTTTTTATATATAGTAGGATGAGTGCCCCCTCCCCCCCGGTTATTTTATCCCCCCTCCCCCCGTTATCCTATGTGTACCTGCATTACGGCATATAATCGCCGTGCACTCAAAAATTCGTTTTCGCCCCGAGAACTTTTTGGCTTTACTCCATTATTTTATGTGCTTTTTTCCAATGAAATCAATTTTCTGGTACTTATCGGCAGTAACCCTTTCGTTTTTGATCCCTAGTGGCTCTAGTGCACTACAAGTTTCAGTCCCCGCACGCATGAATTTTGACTTCCGAGCCCCAATCAACCGCCTGAAAAGGCGGTCGATATGCTCCCTGATTCTCGAAGGTAGGTATTTTGCTGGGCATTTTTGATGTAAGGTGGCTGCTTTTTACATTATCCACGCTTGGCCCAATTATGGGAAACAAAAGTTTTCCAGACAATACTGACTTTGAAACATTTTTTACAAACCGGCTCAAAGTTGCTAAAAACGCGGATGAGTCGAAGCCTGCCTTTATTAACACCATTTTATAAGTATTTACGAGATGCTGTCGCTAAAAGATATAGAACGTTTAAAGCCCTATTTCCTCGCCCTTCAATACTAAAATAATTTGTTTTTATGTGGTATAGAAGATAAAAATGTTAGTCTGTGAGCAAAATAGGTGCTTTTGCATTAGCGGGGGCAGTGGCGAGAGAGCGGACGAACTTTCACCTTAGGCTCCATTTTTTACAAAAATGGCGGAAATCGAAAACCTGATAATTCGGCAACGGTTAGGTTTCAAAAACGGCACAAATTTTCAAGTTTTTTCCCTTTAAAAACAGGTTACATTTTTCAAAACACTGTAAAACGCTTCTTTTACGCTACTAGGCGTTTCCAAATGATACAAATGAAATTTAGTCTTCCCCTGCGTGATAAACCATCCGCTACCCCCCCGATAATCTCTACAGGGTGGCCAGAAAAAAAAGTGCCTGGTTTGCACTGAAATATCTCGCTGGGGGAAACGAATCGAACCATCGTTACCATGCCAGAATGCTTAAATATGCTGGGTATGAAGAATAAACACAAGTTGTTTTTTACGATTTTTGACGACCCACTTACTCGTTAAGAATTTTTCAACATTTTTGAAAAAATAGAAAACTTTGAAGAGGAAAATCATGGAACTTTTGATGAGTTAGGGGGACATGAAGGGTATCAAAATGAAGCACTCGGCATGCGCTATCAAATCAGTGGTAAAGATTATCGATCGGTTTAACTAGCCGTCAATAGGAGCGTTCGGAAAATCGGCACTTTTTGAAGGAATAATTCCAGATAAAATTTCTTTACCATCCGATTTTTCTGATATTTTGCAATTAGCAATAAATAGATACCTGCTAACTTTTCGCATCAAGTTTTTCAAAATCCCGATCAAAAAATTTTTTGGGACTTTGCGAAGTCGACGGAATTTGTAATTTCTACGCTCCTATAGTTAAAATTATAACATGGTTATCTTTGGCAATCAGGATTACATGTAACAAGTACAAAACGTTATAGCAAAAATCAGCTTTTTGTGGTCAACTGGGAATCACCCCTTCGGGAAAAGTGGCGATCTTCCAAACGCTCCTATTGACGGCTAGTTAAACCGATCGATAATCTTTACCACTGATTTGATAGCGCACTCCGAGAGCTTCATTTTGATACCATTCATGTCCCCCTAACTCATCAAAAGTTCCATGAGTTTCCTCTTCAAAGTTTTCTATTTTTTCAAAAATGTTGAAAAATTCTTAACGAGTAAGTGGGTCGTCAAAAATCGTAAAAAACAACTTGTGTTTATTCTTCATACCCAGCATATTTAAGCATTCTGGCATGGTAACGATGGTTCGATTCGTTTCCCCCAGCGAGATATTTCAGTGCAAACCAGGCACTTTTTTTTCTGGCCACCCTGTAAGCGCCAGGATGGAGTTAAAGCATTAAATGTAAGGAGAAATCCGATGCTATAATGGCAATTTTTAGTAATTTACTGGTTTTTTAAAAATTCGATTAGATCTGAGAGGAAAAACGAGTGGTACCCTCAAAACACCATTTTGAGAATTGACAAGCCTTGGTCAATGAACTATGGCAAGCGCAAGTCTTCCAGGCAATAGTGACCTTGAAACATTTTTTTTAGGAAGAACCAGAAATTTCTCAACCTTTTCTAGAACTTCCTGGCGGATCTGATTTCATCAATATTTCCGAGATACGCAAAAAAATATAAAATTTCTTGAAATCTGGTCCTCATCTGTAAGCGAAGCTTTAAGACGTTTTAAGGTTAAAATAATTAGTTTTTAAAGGTATATTGAATTTTAATTAAGTGAATATCAAAATGGCACTGTAATAGGCTCTAAATAAAATGTTATTGGTTTGAAGGGCACTGCTTAAAAATCAATTTAACAACGTTTGTATTTTGTGTAACTACTACTGAACGGAATGCCTGGATACTTGCCTATTCCGCTTGTTGAATTTTTGAAACCAGTTTTTTTGGCTGATTTTTTGCATGGAAAATTCAGATAATTATTTTTAGAAGATTTAATAAATCACCATATCACTAAATGCTAAATCACTGAAAATGTGACAGAATTATGCACATTAGGTAATCATATGCGCACACTCTGATGGAAGGACTCATCTAATTGTGATGGGCAGACAGCCGAGGCTATTTTTTTATAAAAACGTTTTTCCGTAAAAGCCAGGATTCATACATGTTTGGGATTAAGGTGGAATAAAACTCAATTGAGCATACGGTAGCCAAATTAGGGGCATTGGAATGCAAGAAAAATGTCTCGCACATTGCCTGGAATTTTGCCGGTTATGCCTGGCGCTTCTTTGAAACCGCTTTTTCTGGCTAATTTTTTTGCATAACCAAACAAGACAACTATGTTTAAATGGTCTAACAAGTCGCCAATACGCGCCAAATAGCTAAAAAAATTATTAGTTACAGTTTTTTGCATGTGCGGAGCGGTTTTCCTGCTTCCTCACAGTTTAATGTGAGGCCCAAAAGCTATTTTTCCATAAAAACATTTTTCCCCAAAAGCGAGAGTCCATATTTTTTTACTTTAAAATAGAAAAATTCACTGGAGCATATGGTAGCCAAATTAAGGGCATTGGATTGAAAGATGCAAGGTTAGCAGTATTGCCTGGAATATTGCTAGTTGTGCCTGACTCTTCATTGAAACCTCTTTTTCTGACCAATTTTTGCATATAGAAAGACAAGAGGATAATTTTTCATGATTTAACCAATTGTTAAAGCGGCTCTGGCAGCAAGCCCCTTTTTCCACGACTAGTGGAAGCGTCGCGGTCGGGTGCGTCGCGGCAGGGAGAGAAAGAGTGCGCCCAGAGGAGAGCCGCAGACAGAACTCTGCGTCTCTGCCCGGTCCCCAAAATGCCGTAATCGGTGTGCTGCCAGAGCCGCTTTAAGTACACCCACAAATACCTAGAAAATACGGCAAAATATTGACATGCCTTAACCAAATTTCGTAGCCGCAATAAATCATTATTATGCCGTCAAGCTACCCGAGAAGCAATTGTTTCATAAAAACATTTTTCCGTGCAAGTGAAAATTAATATTTTTTTGCATTAAAATGAAATAAAAACCCACTTGAGAATACGGTAGCCGTATTCGGGGCAAACGCCAGCATATAGAACGAGGTGGCCGCGCCGGTGCAGCCCAAAATGATATACAGCGAATCTTTGCCGAGGATCTGGAGCCGCGCCAGCACGAGGGGGCCTGAAAATTCAAAATAGTTGCGATTTTTCTTAATAATAAAAGTGTTGCCATCCTTTATAAAAAAATTAAAAAATTAAGACTTCAAAAATTTTTCACAAATGTTTCAAAAATATTTAGGACTGTAGGGTGTTTTTGTTATTCAATTCATCAAATGGTGACGTTTGTCAACACCGAGCTCGTTAATCTCCTTTTAAATTTGAACAATTTAAATTCTCAAAAATTAATTAAATCAGCATTATTCCCTTAGAACTACGATTAAAAACAATATGAAATCACATAGCTTTCCAAAGAACATTTTTAAGAATGATTCAAAATTTTTTGGTAACGAACACGGCGGTTTTGATTGAATTCCTGATGGGTCATTAAGTTTTTAATTGCCTAAAAATAACAAAATCCGCGTTATCGATTCAAACAATTTGGCATTAGGAAAATAAAAATATGAAATTTCCCAATCGTTTTGGTAATTGAAAAAGTAAGATTCCAATAATTGAGGAAACAGTGCACCTAGAAAATAGGAAAATAGTGATTAACCACAGAAATGCTTTTTCAAAAAATGTTCCATAAATTTTTAGGGCCAAACGAGGCGCTATTGATTCAGTTCCCGTTTCGTTAACGAATCTTTAATTACCTAAAAACATAAAATCCGCGTCATCATTTAGAAAACGGGTTTAGAATTAGGAAAAGAATGGCTTTTCAACGGCCGCTTTTCAAAATCTTTAAAAAATACATAAACGTTCGGTAAGAAGGCAAAGGTGTTCCAAAAATGTTAGATAGTTGGCAATAATGTTTGGGTCTAATAAAGGAATTGTCTTGTTGGCCTCTATCCTGGCAGTCTTTTAAACTAAATGTTTCTATTATTATTAGACTACTACCATGATACCTTAATTCTAATTTTTTTTATGCATCATAATAATTCTTGCCATTATAATTCAGGGCTAATAAATTTCGATAGAACCCGTAAATTAAATTGAGAATGCCCTCTCAAACTGGAGCTGGAGCGGAAGACATTAAAATCCACAGCTATACCTTGCCAGTCCCTTTAAAACGGCTTACCCAGTAGCATTCCAGTAGCCGCAGCGAGTCCCTTGACCGTCATGAAAAGGCTGAACAAGCTGTCGGACCAGTGGAATGCCGGTAGCTTGATGTAGAGGTAGATGTAATTGATATCTGAAAAAGAATTGTTGAGGGCGATGCAAGACGATGCAAGACTAGACGAGAATAACAATCCTAGGGTAGTTACTTATAAGAAACATCAAAATTCAAATTTTTCTAAAGTTAATTTTTGTTTTTATTTAGTTTTTATTTCTACAACTATTTTAGCTCGAAGAATTTGACTATTAGAATTCAAAAAATAATAACACGAAACAAAAACCTAGCGTTATGCGAAACATAAAAATTGAAATTTTTCGAAAATACTTTTTCTTATTCTATTTATATTTTGCAGGTATTTTTGATTGGAGAAATTTGGCTATAACAAAACGCTACTTATATTTTACTGATCTATCTGATCGCGCTAAAAGAATCCCAAAAGATGGAAAAATAGAAATATCCCAAAATCTTCGTCTATAAATTTTCCCTCCCCGATAAACTCGCCCCCCCCCCCCCTCCGCTAATGAACCAGAACCCTAGTATCTTCGATTCCTGTGATAAAAATAATATATTTTCAGAGCAAAATATTTTCCTCGTCTTAATGAAGAAAAATTAGACGGGCCGGCTAGGGTGACCGATGAAACATTAAAGTGAAGACCGGCCGGTGACAAGCCGTTGAAAAGATTTGCTATCATAATGTCAAACTTTTTTGGCATAGGACCTGGGGTTGTCTGGGAGATTCGCTTATGTATATTTCGACATTCCGAATTTCCACATTCTCACATTTAGCCGTTTTCAATTTCGATATTATGATTTTCGACATTTTGAAATTACCCGTTTGATGATACTTTCTTAAAGGCCCACTTTTCGAGTCATAATTAAATTTGATACTTCAATAAAAATTAAAAAATAGTACCCCATAGGATTAGTTAATTTCTAAGTGACCTTAATTTACTGAATTTCTATGATACTAGGAATGCAGTTTTTAGAATTTTTAGAGGGCTGATGAGAATTGCTATGGGCAAATTACTGAAATTCCTCTGCTCTCCGCACGGTGATATTTACAGGCATTTGAAACATTTTGATACTGCAAAGAAATTGTAGGAAGCTGAATTCGTTAAGCTTAACTTAATTTCAAGAATCAATGATCATTTTAAGTACCCTCCAAATACCTAGAACAATCAGCTCGACAGCAGATAGGGCCAGGGAGGTGATGACGCAGAACCGGATCCAGCCACGTCTCTTTCGGAACAGCACCTGGAAATTCAAATTAGTATTAGAGCAACAGGATCCCGCGTATTACCATAAAGACCTCAATGCCCTAGCCTGAATACTTAGAAACAATTAATTTTCAAAAGATCTTCGTTTGTACTTTATCACGCACAGCCTGAACGTGCCAAATATCCGATGTTTACGCTATTTTTTGTAGTTTTTTGAATGCCATTCGATAGAGCGTCGAAGAATATATGAGCAGTTTTGATTACAGCTTAAAATACTGTAATTGAAAAAAGTTATAGCAAAAAAAAAAAACACAAAATAACCTTTGAAAATGGCGCCAAAAAGCTAATTTTCAATATTATCGTTTTTTCGACATTTTCGATAAACAAGCCGATAAAGCTTACAAAACCATAGTAAGATTTTTAATGGCGGCTCAAAATAATGTAATGTCAAATAGTTACAGCAGAAAAACTTCTGGGACCTGCCAGCTGGGGGGAGTAAAGTAAAACTTCGGCTTCAAAAAAATGTTTCGTGCTTGTTCCGTTTTGGTTGAGACCCTATATTAATAATATAGTTACCCGGTTCGGGTTAGCAAACCAGAAAATTGGTTCATAAATATAGTCAAAAACGATACTTTGAAATTACACGATTGAAATTTTTTTTATTTTCGAGAAAATGTTTCAAAATTACTTAATGTGGCTGGAGAACCCGGCTTCGTATTGTATGATTGCCTCGTTGTTGGATTATCAATTCTAGTTTTAATAGGATTCTAACCTCAAAAAAAATTAGCAAATCTAGTCAAAAAGTGGCTACATATTTTATGTGCCTAAATTTAACTAAAACCAGAATATAAATTACTAAGCTAAGCCACGATTTGTATATATTAAGCGAACAACAAATACCTCTTGCATCGATCGGTATAACCCGACAAAATGCTGCCAGCCGAGTACCACCAAATTGGCGGTCGAACGCGTGGTGGTGATTGATGGGTCTAAATTAGGGCCTAAAAATAGATGGATAAAAATCGTAAAAAAAAGTTTATTAATTTCTACAGTAAGAATAAAATCTAAAAAAACTATTTAAAATTTTAATCTATCTTTTGTATTCCTTAAAAGAGAAAATGGCATTTTTCGAAGCTTTGGGAACGTCTAATAAGGATAAAATTAATCCGATCCGGCCTTTGAACAAAATGATACACATTTTTTCAAAAACTTTGAAATTTTTTGAATAAAGCGAACGATACGATCTAAAATGCATTTATTAACGGATGTTAACTAGGACTAAAATCAGGATAATAAACGCCCCGGAATAAAAGCCACTCACCCGAACTGCTCGAAGTCGACGCGGCGCCCAGGTCGGGCCCGTATTCCCCGACACGATTCGGGTGATGAGTCTCCCGAACGAATAGCAGCACGTAGAAAAAGGTAGCAAATATGCAAGCGCATTCTAAAAAATTTTCAATTTTAAGGAATCTGATGTTAAAAACATATGTTTCAAAGTAAATACTAAAATCAAAAAATTTTGCTTTAGCAATCTCTTCGAGAAATCTTTGCAACTATCCTATACGGGATTCTTTTTCATAGCCAATTTATTTTAGTCATAAAACTATTTTATTTATTTATTTATTAATTAATCATTAATTCTGATTAACGGTTTTTTTATTATGCTTTTGTGATCATTTAGATACAAGCTCATAGAAGTAGGAAAAGCCAATTTTATGTTCTAATTCAAAAATAACTTTCAATTTTTTAATTTAGTTTGAATTTAATTATTCAATTTCCTTTGATTTTAATTGTAATTTAGTTGATTTTTTTATTGATTTTTTTATTGTTGATTTTGATTTTAATTTGATTTTTTGTTTCCCTTTTGAAATTACTTACGTAAAAGAGCGCAAATTAAATATCTTGACTCGAGCCCGGCCAATATCGTGATCACTAAAAATTTTTGATTTAATTGTAAACCTTTTGTACCTATATTCCCGGCAAAACCGCCGAAATTCTGCAGCGCCGCCCCGACGATGATCCGGACCGGGACACTGTAGTTTTTCTGAAGACATTTTATTGAGAAAATTTAGTTTTTTACGCCGGCACGATTTCATACTTTCCTCAAAAATATTTTCTAGCCTCATTAATTTTTTGAAACATAATTTTGAACTGTTAGCGGGGGAGCTCATTTTCAAGTTTTCCGCCGATATAGACTGGTTAATCATACCGAATTTATTTTTATATGTTTTGTTGATTGCTAGCAGTTTACTTAAATTATTTAAACATTTTCGTGGATTTTAGTTCGGTTTTTAAATCTAAAAACTGCGTCAATATCTATAAAAATGTTCTAGATCTCGTTTTAGGACCGTCGTGATCAACGGAAAAAAAAACGGTTTCTACCCCCCACTAAGAATCCAGTTCCGAAAAACGCTGCTTTTCAAAAAACTCCAAATTTCGGGTGAAGCGATTCGAAGAAAGCCGTTAGCGTTAATTACACGCGATTTTGCAAATTAAAACACATCCTTATTAAAATAAACCACTCAGGTGAAATTTCAATGTTGTATGGACTTAGCGCTTCGGACACCACGAGTCTAAGGTAATTTAGGCATTAGTCCGCGTCCATGTATCTGCCTCGCTCTCTCCATCTCGCTCTCTCTCGCTATGTCTCTCTCTCTCTTCTCTCTCTCTCTCTCTCTCTCCCACCGTGCCGGTGTCCTTCCTGGTCTCGTCAATAATCATGGCGAACATCGTGCCAATCAGGCCGCAAGATCCACCCGTCGCGCCCCAGATTGTTTCCGCCGCGAAGAACCTAGAAATAGGATTTAAGGCTTTGAAACCGGAACCGAAGTGATATAAACCAGATTAAACTGCGCTTACGACGCCTCCATAAAAATAAAAATAATACGGAAAAAGTAGTTTATCTAACTTCTACAAAGCTGGACCGATTATGCCATTTTAGCTGAGCTGCACTATACAACTTATTGAAACATTTCTTTCTGACCACCCTCGCTGAAAAGTGCCCAAGATCAAAATAGAGAGACAACTGTTAGTTTTTTTGTAAATGTTGCGCCCAGAAGAATGTATTGGGTCATTATGGCTCTGCAACATTATATAATTTTTGAAACATTCTTTGCCTTAGGAGGCAAAAAATTATTAAAAGCGCCCGGAAAGCTTGGCTATGGTTTTAATACGGGCATAGATTCCCTACGGGATGCCTCGCCGCGATACGCAATAGGCGGGCCCGTTCTTCTATTGCATAATGGGCTAAAACCCGTATTTTCATCTATAATCAATAAAAATAATAGCCATGTCTTACCCATAAATACCCCTTAACAAAGATTTTTAAAAAATATGATACAACTATATCTTCTACTACGTCGAATCTGATTCACTTAATTGACCGTACCTGTTGACAGTGCCAATAAAAGAGAAAAACGTTTGCTACTATTTTAAATCAAATAAATTATCTGAATTTCATAAAAGACCGTATCTACAAGCGAAATTCATATCTAAACCCCTAGACCTATAGAAGCTAGAAAGATTAAAAACAATAATTCAGCTTTTTTGGGAATTTCTGAAGTCCCTGTTAAGGTTGAAGTACAACTTATTGGCCGACGTTTACGATGCAAATAGATGAAACATTTTCCACACAAGGTACCGATTAAACTTCCGATTTCTCGGCTAGGGACTGGTTTTCTATGGATTTCGGCGCTGACGACACGCAACGCGCCCGGTCGCTTTATGCGTAAGGTGTCGCGGGTTATTTTCATAATATCGAAATTTCATAACGCCGAAAATTCAGGCTGCTAAAAATCTACATAAGCAACGCTTCTATCCGTAAAATGGGAGATTACACCATTATGTAAATTCGACACAAGGAATTTCGAAATTATGAAGGCAATGCAGCCCAGTATAGTTTAATTTATTTTAGACAATTAGACAATTTAAGAGCCTTCTTGTCGGAAAAATATGATACAATTAGATCCCTTCCTTTTCAGAATTTATTTTGCTTAATTTAATCTCGAGACCGGCAGTTTGTAAAGCTCGAGCCCATGGAGCCCAGGGAGCTGGGAGCCGAAAGAGCTCAGGGAGCTTCCGGAGGTATATTAAAGTATAATTGACATTAATTTTGGAGTATTATACTAGTCTTAGTGCATTACTACAAGATTTAATAAGAATTACGACTTTTATAAAGTTATGCTGCAAAACCGTCTTGGGTTCGAGCTTTACTAAATGCCCTCGAGACCAACCCACCAAATATAAACGTTAATATGGCGATACGTAAACGTAGCGATGACGTACAGCACCGCATAAATACAAAAACCGCAGATCGAGAAGATTAAAGCTGGTTTGCGGCCTAAAAATATAAAATTAATGATTTAAATGTCTGATTTTACAATTAAAACCCTTACCCGCTCGATCGGCCCAAATTCCGAGCAGCGGCGCCGAGATGAGATTTGGGATCGAATTGGCAACCTGAAAACTACAGAATAAAATTTTCGTATGTTTTATAAATTTTTTTTGAAAAACGTGTTTCACAAAAATACGTATTGTAGCTAACCGGGTAATATTTAATATGCTGCGGCATGATCGTCGTAAAAAGTTAAATAAAAATTCCTTTAACAAAAAAGGTATCGTTTTGCTTCTTTTTGGCCGTCCTTTTTTATTTTCAATTTTTTATTTTTTTATTTTACCATTTACTAACATTAGGTCGAAACCATCTTGTCGAAATGCAATTTTCGACACTTCGATTTGTCGAAGCTTTATTATGTCGATACTGATTTTGTCGAAAAGAAGTCTGTTAAAATTTTGAATACCAAAAAGTGCAATATGAAAAATTAAACAAATAATCTGGGGTGAACACCGACAAAATTATTTTCGACAAAATCTAAGACGAAATGCTAATTTCAACAAAATAATTTCAATAACCGACAAAAATAGTCCGGATACTGTCCTTTGATGAAAGATGTTTTAGGGCACAGTTCTATGTCGCGGTATCGCCAATTGATTACAAATTATGGAAGTGACGTTGGTACACACTATCGATGAAACATTTTAATTTACATTACCCTCATTACTTTCAAATTTTCCGTACCATACCAGCTTACAGAGCTACCGTACCCCACCTGGATCCAGGTCCTCATATGCGCAATATCTTTTTGTAGTTCCATCCCGAAACGGTCGTCATCGGCCAAATCGAGGGTGCACACTGTATCGTTCATGTCCGGAAACTAAAGATATCGATTGAGCTACCTAATCCTGTAAATTAATTTGGTTTGTATAATTACTATTATACCATTCCTATTATAATTATTTTTAGCTCAAGAGCCGTTAACATCCAATCAGTATTAAAAGATTTAATCCGGAATTTTAAAGGGCCAAACCTGAAACATAAAATTTAGAATTTTTGACAAATTGGAATTTAAGGAATTTTTATAAAAGTTGTATAATTATTTTCAAGCACCCCCCAAGCCATGACGGCGGATCTTTTCCGTGGAATTGGAAAGGGCTTCACCGCGAACGCGACCCGCAACGCATGCCTCCGCCCAAGGCATGCGCGTCGCATGCCGCGGACGCGACCAAAGACAAGAAATCCATAGCCCTTCCCCGCCTTGTCCGGCCCTTTAAAGAGATGGTTTTAAAAAAATTAAAAACGGTTTAAAAAATATGTACCACAAGAATAGGTATTAGAGAAGAAAGGTTGCATCATAATTACTGAGTTGTTTTTGCCTCCGATTCACAAATTAAATTAGCACAATTTAGCGGAATTCAATTAAATTCCAACCAATTTCGACATTTATTCTCTCAAAATTACGTTCTTTCGCATTACCGGGGGGATAGTATTTTTCTGTAAACCTAGCACGCAATCGCAAGCATTTTAATAGTTGTTTTAGTAAAATTTGACTAGACGTAATGCGGAGAAGCTTTCTAAAAACGTTGAAAACCTTCGGATTTTAATCAAACATTTCTATTTAGCTATTAAAAATCTATTAAATTTTTTAAATTTTTGACGTTTAAGAATAGTAAATAAAACATTTAATTAGCACTTCTCCTAATTTATATTATGGCATACATATATGCAGCATATTAAAAAATGTGGTTCATATAGTATCAGCCCCCTCCCTGATAATGCCAAAGTACCCTAAATTAATGGTTAACCGTAGATTTTATAAAACTGAAAGACATCTCACGGCACAACATCTTATTATACCCTATGAAAATTTTGGATCCTAATGCAGATCTGCAACACCGATTTTCAACACCATACCTCCTGGTATCCGAGCTCGATACATCGGGCCCAATATTGGAACTGTGGCTGCGACGTCAGCAGGAAACTCATCGACATGGCCGCCAGGATAAGCGCCGGCTCCACATTTGTTGCGCGGCATATTCTAGAATAGAAAAATGTGATAAAAAATATGTTTAAAAGCTGTAATCTAAGAAATTTGGAAAAACGCGCGTAATTGCAGCATTATTCCAATCAACTTTATTACTTCGCAGATTGAAATTGATTAAATTCCAAGGCCTTAGCGTATTTTGAAGTGAATAAAATACCTTTGCTCGTTACTTAACTTTGCCGGTATTTTCCTTTTAAAACACTTTATCGAATCTTCGTAAACGTTGCCATTAGGCTCAAACATTAAATGTTGCAAAAAACCCTATGAAAACTCCGAGATTAAGAGCTTAATCGTGGTACCTTAGGAGTACCGAATTATAATTTGGTTTACTTTTGTTGATTTATTTAGCATTATCGGGGGGCTAATCGTACGGTGGAAAATTGGTGGAAAAATTTACAAGCGGAAAACTTAGAAAAAGTTCAGGTTTTTAGTAGAAAATGGGCCTTTCTGATCTTAAAAGTTATATCTTCCTAATTTCTCAATTAAAATCCGGAACGTTTTGTACCTTAGAAATAGCATAAACATTGAGCAGTTGCTTCTATGCGTGTGAAGAAAAATGGAATTTCTATTCAAACTCAATTTTCTTTAGAAAAAATGTTTTACTAATGTACCTATGCCAAATTAGCGGTCAGGAATCTAGTCCGCCTTTGTCCGCAAAATAATATAGTCCGAAATTCGTTATATTTGAACCCTTATCATAAAAAATTTGTTTTAAAGAATTCTGGGTAATACGCGCCGCTGCCCTTTTTATTCGACACTTGTCGCATGCCTTAGCAAAATGAGAATTAAAATTAATAAACTGGTATTGTTATGTATCTTGGAAAACAAAAATTATTTGAATTGTAATTAATTTCAACATTGAAAACTACGCGATTCAAAGAATCTGCGAGATTACGTAGTTGTGATATTATTTAAAGTGCTAATAACCAATTTAATGATACTAAAACATTTTAACAAACACATTATTAAAGCTATCGTTAATTATTCTATTAACGAGAAAAGTAGCGAGTAGAATTGAATGCGAATAAAACACCTAATAAATAAATGAAATTAAAATAATTAAATCACCTCTTAATCGCTTGGAGCATTCCGTAAATAGTAATATTAGTACTGGTTGGCTGGCTTCCTCGAATTCTTCACCGCGCCATTCCAGCTACAATTTTTTCAGCAGGCCAGCGACCGTGACGTTTTCTGCAAAAAGTCTGCCTTCGTTTATTAGCTAAAAATATATGCATAACAATAAAACCTTCAAAATACCGCAGAAAAAAATTGAAAGCACAAAAACCAGATTCGGCAAATTATGTGTTTTGCAAAATGTCGCGGTTCCCGAAGTCATGAAACATTTAATTCGCAGGGCATTCCTAGGCAAACCAAAGAAAACATTTTCAGTGGTTTTGTTCAGTTTGGAGCTTTGCGTAAATAAATGTTCTAAATTCTTCCGCAAAGAATCTCTGCTAGCCCCCCCCCCGCCAATCTATCCGGCAAACAACGCGGAGCTAGCTAAAACTTTTAATTTTTTTGCGGATTTTAACGTTTTAATGCTGGACCAAAAATGATTTTCCTGCACAGACAATGGCGGCCCAAATATTTTTCGAAGGATGAAATAAAATTTAATTGCACTTTTTAAAATCGATTTTATCGGCGCAAACAGCAAAAAATATGTTTTAATAAAGAGCCGAGATTCGGGATTGACGAAAATTGCAATATGTGAAAGAACATCTACTCTGCTCAGCGATTTTTGGGCTGTTGTAGTTTTTATCTTTATTTCTTTTATTAGATTTTATATTAGAAAATACAAAAACACACCGGGCGAGCCAAGCCACTAAATTATGGATTAAAAAAATTGTTTTAAAAGCGATCCATCCCCCGGTTGAACGGTTGAAGTTAAACTGATAGTTTGCACCAGTGACCGTTTACCCCGTATAGTTTTTTTGGCCAGATTAAGATCATTAAGATCATTAATTAATGCAAAACGGGCTTTTTGCTTCTGGCTAGCGGTCGGTACTAAAAAAAATCAATAGCTTTAAAAATTTATTTGATAAAAACATGTTTGGCAAATCACCCAATTTCCGAATTAATCGTCACGTCACAGCCACTTAGATAATTCCGAAATTGCCATTGCCGGTTAGCCCGTCCCAACGTAATTTACGTAATTAGGTAATTGTTATTAGGTATTATTTGGTATTATTTAGTATTATCCGTTAGTATGAATTATTAGTACGTAATTTTTACGTTAATGAGGATTGGTTTTTCGGATCAATTGTAGGGTCAGCCACATTCCAAATGCTTTATTTCGTGAAACTAGGGATTTAGCCCGTTCTCAACTCGTGGCCCTATTTAGGAGGGAATTCGCGAAAGAAATAGTAATCGCTATTATTAGTGACCAAATTGCATATAAAGCAAGAAACCAAAAATCCCATGTTTCACCAAAACACCTATCCTAAATTAGTCGATGACCCACAGTGTTGTCCACAGATGGATTGAACCTGGTATAGAGCAACAAAAGCTTCATTTAAATTTTTACAATTTTTTAGGCTAGACAATTTTTGACATTCAGTGTCATAATGTAAAGGACTAAATTCTTAGAGATAGTTAGCAAAAAAAGGCCTGAATTAGAGAATGGCCGTCCGGTCAAATGGTCAGTATCGTGCTATTCATATGGTAAACAGTAAAGCTGGCAAATCCTACTAAATTACAGGAATACATGAAACATAGAATTTAAACGATCGTCGAGATGCTTGAAAAACTCTGTTAACGGAAGATACGCCTTTTGTGATAAGCTATAATTTAACGCAACTCCATATTATGTTGAGCGCAACACAGCTTTTGATGGGAGATTTGGTTTGAACAATTAAAGCACTCAGTGAAATTTACTTCGTATAGTTCTAACGCTTATATGAAGCCGTCGACTTGCTTATTTAAACAAGATTTTGTGATCCTTCTGATAGTTTTCGTGAAGTGACGTCTAAGACTTGCAAGTTAATTCAATGTTTCACAAAAAAGGCTATCTTAAGGCGTATTACAGTCCGTAGTGCCTCCCAGACATGTACTGATTTTAATAAGCATTTTCAGTTCTAACAAATTTCTATTATTCAGCGTCTGTCCGAGCCAGAAAACCATGGTCATCCCTGTCACGTGCCCTTAAAGTTGATCTAGAACGAGTTACTTTCAAAACTTCGAAAATTCGTAATGTCGAAACCTCAAATGTCGAAATTTTGCAATTAAAAATTTTTGTAACGTGTTAATTTACACAGGCAATCGCCCGGAAAACCCCCAAATCACATGCAAAAAAACTCGACAGACGTTAATTTAGCGTCATGAAATTTCCACATTATGATAAAGAATTATCGAAGACTCTAAACTAAATGGTCTGGCTGAACACGATCAATTAAATGCGATAAAACCTGGAATCGGTTCTTGTCTGAAACCTGGAATTTCAACGAAAAAATTAAGGGCGTTTTAGAAATATCTGTTTCAGAGGCCGTACTTTAGGTCCTAATGGTTGCTGCTTTAATAAGATTTTGACTCAATGACGGTCCAATCCAAGCTGGTAATCAAAACAGGCATTTGTTTACCAGCTTTTGAGTGATATCATCATTTTTGGGAAGAATTATATATTTCACGAAAATGTGTATCTAAAGGTCGGCGACAACCGCTAATATATTGTCGTCATGAAATCGACTCGTCAGAAAGTATTTATCGCTAAAATTATTTTTTAAGCTATACTACTGTACGCCACGCCCGTGCACAAATCTTGGCTTTGGTCGATGGGTTACAGTATGCCAGTGGATACAGTATACCAATGGCTATCGTAAGCCAAGAAATACTGTAAGTCTACTATTATAACGGCTACAGAATCATAATCGTTACAGTACGACAGAAGCAGGGGACGTAGCGTAAGGTGGGCCCCCTGGGCCCGGTGCCCCCCCCCGAAATCGGCCGGGGCCCGAAAATTTCATAAGGCCCCTTATGATTTTTATTTTCTCAAAAATTTTGCTGCCTGCGGCGCTATTTTTTCACGGTTTTACGACTAATTGTAGAGCTACATAGCCTTGTTTCTAAATTTTTTTGCCTGCGGCGCTGTTTTCTTTTTAATTGTTTGAGTTTTTCGGAAAAAATTTTTCGGGGCCCCCCCCGAAATTTTTTTCTGGCTACGCCCCTGGACAGAAGGGAAATATTTAATTTGTTAAATGAAGAGGGTGGTTACAATCGGAAACTCGGTATTTTCAGAATTATTTATCTTAAGCCATAGGTTACGGTATGCTGCCAATTACAGTAAGGAATTGGTTACTGTAATATACAGACTAAAGTATGAAAATCGCTACTTAAAACTGGCTATGGTAAGAAAATCGTTCCAATAGGATAGGACTACAGTAATACCAAAAGCTACAGTAAGTTTAACGTTACAGTATGACTATGCTACAGTAAGCCTGGCAAATTTCTCGACCCAGTTTAAAAATGTCTTAGATTCAATTAAATTCGAAGGTAAACTTTAAAACTCGCCAAAAAAATCTAAAATCACCTAGATCCGGAAGTTTTAGGAATGGGGGCGGGAAATCGAAATACGCCCCCTTAAAAGATTCGCATCGAAAGGCTCTTTGCATATTTGCAGCGCCATTCTGACGCAGGCAAACTTCCAAGGAGCCGCTTTCTTTGCAGGAATATTTGTCTTTGAAACGACAAAAATTCAACGCATTGCAAGAATTCAAACAAAATGGAAAACGGAGCATTCTATACATTAGTAAATCCAAAGTTTTACCATATTCATTTTTAAACAAAACATAATTTTTGAACACGAGTGTTTCCTTGTGTAAATTACAAAACATGAAAGGAGATTTTATTTCGAAATTTACAGTTGCGATTAGCGCTGCATTACGGGGGATTAATGGGGGCCCAAGTATACAAAAATTCCAGGCATACCAAATCAGTAATAGTTGGTTTTTCATTGTGTTTTCATTGTTTTTAATGAAATCTAACTATGTTTTAAAAGGAAAGTATAAAAAAAACATAACTTTTCCGAAAAATCTAAATATTTCCTTTTTCTTGATAAAAATTCGCACATTTTGACGTTTAGTAATGATAAAAATGCATTTAAAAACAATTGCTCTAATTTAATTACAAAATTTTGATCCTAAATAACAAGGGCATGAAATTTGAATATTTGGAAGGAGCAGTTTCTACGGTAGAGAGGTTCTAGTAGGAAATAGAATTGCAACGGAAGCCGGCACAACTTTGCAACATTTCCGCATAAGTAAAAAAATTTTAAGCCGCTATAATACTTTTTACAGAAAGATGCCAATGCATATAAATAGGGCTCAACAATTAAAGATAACTATAATTCTTAAAATCATTGAACTTTAGGTAACTGGCCACGCGGAAAAGGTTAAAAAGAAAAACTAAAAAAGAGATTTTTTAAAAAATTAAAAAGGCAATTTCCGGGGTCCATTAGATGTAATAATACGTTAAACTATGGTAGTATACAAAGCTTATTACCTGAAGAAAGTCTTTATAAGGGTGCTCAAAATAGGCCAAATGCTACCACTACCTACGAACTGTGACAAGAAAATCGCCAGTAACGAGGCAATTCCATGAAACATTTCATATTAACACAAATTTGGGGTGGCAGGCTGTCTTTGTAGAAATAATAGGTTTTAATCCCAAATGATATACTCTTGAATCTTGGCAGATACATTACATGGGTCATCTAAAATTAATTAAATCAGCGCCCAGGAAAGGGAAAATTAACGAAAAATCAATTTTCGGGGCCATAAAAATCCAAACGTATCGAGAGTAGTATATCGACTACTCCGGGCAACAAATTACAATCATGGCATACGCGCGGGGGTAATTTCGGCATCGACAAAAAGACCCGAAACGACACCACGACCCCCACTGAATTGGGTGTTTTGACGAGGGTAGTCAACGGACATGGGCAAATAGTGGGATGGAAATCAAAGCAAAGAAAGTGAGAGAGAGAGAGAGAGAGAGAGGGGCGAGTGAGAGAGGGAACAACAAGAACACTGATTCGATAGCCAAAAGAAGAAGAAAGAAGGGAAAACACGCGTGCCCTCCCCCTGTTCGCCGATCA